AAATCAGAGGCAAAAACGGTGTAAAGAAGAAGGAAAACTATCTCTATTTTAAATTATATGATAATATACCTACAAAAGCCCAGTGAATCAATAATAAAATTAACTGAAGCAATAATTCAGTAAAGTAACACAATACAAAGTTAATATACAAAAGTCAATAGTCTTTGTATACATAAACAATACACAGAAGCATAAGGGTAGAGAAAACCCCATTTATAATAGCAAGAAGGAAGGTGAAATACTTAGGATGGGGCGAGTAGGAAGACCCTGAGCTCACCTCCATCCATGGGCACACCAAAATTACAACTATTTACAGAACAATTACCAATGAGAACAACCTGAAGACTAGGAGAAAAGATTTTCCACAACTAAAGAGATAAAGAAGGAACCACAGGGGCTTCCCTGGTGGCGCAGTGGTTGAGAGTCTGCCTGCTGATGCAGGGGACACGGGTTCGTGCCCCAGTCCAGGAAGATCCCACATGCCGCGGAGCGGCTGGGCCTGTGAGCCATGGCCGCTGAGCCTGCGCGTCTGGAGTCTGTGCTCCGCAACGGGAGAGGCCCACGTACCGCAAAAAAAAAAAAAAAAAAGAAGAAGGAACCACAGTAAGATGGGTGGGAGGGGCAAACATGCCATATAGTCAAGACCCACATCCCCAGGGAGGTGACCCACGAACAGGAGGATAATCACAATTGCAGAAATTCTCCCCATAGAGTGAGGGGTCCAAGCCCCACATCGGACTCCCTGGACTGAGAGTCCTGCATCAGGAAGACAAGCCCCCAGACATCAGGCATTGAAGGCCAGCAAGGCGTACATATATGTGATGGTGTTGGGAAAATGGACAGCACGTGCAAAAGAGTCGAACTAGACTACTTTCTCACACCATACCACAAAAAAAGCAAGATGGATAAAAGACTTAAATGTAAGACCTGAACCCATAAAACTCTGTGAACTAAATATACTATGCTCTTTGACATCCATCTTAGCAATTTTTTTTTTGGATATGTCTCCTTAGGCTAGGGAAACAAAAGCAAAAATAAACAAATGGGACTACATCAAACTAAAAAGCTTTTGCACAGAGAAGGAAACTAGCATTAAAATGAAAAGGCAGTCTACTGGATGGGAGAAGATATTTGCAAATGATATATCTGATAAGGGGTTAATATCTAAAATATACAAAGAACTCATACAACTCAGCATCAAAAAAGCAAACAACCCAATTAAAAATTGGGCAGAGGATCTGAATAGACATTTTTCTAAAGAAGACTACAGATGGCCAACAGACACATGAAAAGATGCTCAACCTCACTAATCATCAGGGAAATGCAAATCAAAACCACAGTGAGATAATCACCTCACACCTGTCAGAATAGCTATTATCAGAAAAACAACAAATAATAAGTGTTGGCAAGGATGTGGAGAAGAGAACCCTCATGCGCTGTTAGTGGTAATGTAAATTCGTGCAGCCACTATGGAAACAAAATGGAGGTTCCTCAACAAATTAAATATAGAACTGCCATCTGATTCAGCAGTTCCACTTCTGGGCATTTTTCCAAAGAAAACAAAAATACTAATTCAGAAAGATATATGCACCCTTATGTTCATTGCAGCATTATTCACAGTGGCCAAGATGTGGAAGCAACCTAAGTGTCCATTGATAGATGACTGGATAAAAAAGATGTGGTATATATACACAACTAAATATTACTCAGCCATAAAAAAAAAAATGAAATCTTGCCATTCGTGACAGCCTGGTTGGACCTAGAGCGTATTATATTGACACTAAGTGAAATAAGTCAGGCAGAAAAAGACAAATACCATATGATTTCACTTATATGTGGAATCCAAAAATCAAGACGAACAAATAAACAAGGTAAAACAGAAACAGACTCATAGATACAGAGGATAAACGAATGCCAGAGGTATCAAATAAATAAGTAACAGGGATGTAACGTACAGCATAGGAAATGTAACAACTTTTAAGGTGACAGATGGTAACTAGACTTATTGTGGTGATCATTTTATAAAAATATCAAGTCACTGTGTTGTACACCTGAAACTAATATGTCATTTACACTTAAATTTTTTAAAAAATTTAAGTACTTAGGAATTTTCATAAGTATACAAAGTACAAGTATATATGAGGAAATTTTTAATACAGTTCTGGGAGACACAAAAGCAGGCGTACAAATGGAAAACATCCCCTGTTCTTGAGTGGGACAATTCAACTTTATAAAGATGTCAGTTCTCCCGAAGTTGATTTATAAATTTAATTCAGTCCTAATAAAAATAACAGCAAGCTATTTATGGAGTTAAATAAGTTGATACTAAGTTCATGTGAAAAAATAAACGTCTAAGAATAGGCAAGAAACAATGAAAAACTACAAGGGAGGAATAGCCCTGCCAGATACTAAAACATACAATAAATTCTCTGTAATTAAAATCCTGTGGTACTAATGCTTGATGGACAGTTGGCCTGTGGAATAGAAGAGAAAGCCCAGTATTAGACCCAAATACATATTAGAATTTATAGTATGATAAAGGTGGCATCTCAAATCACTGCATTTTTAATAAATGTTAGTGGGACAACTGGATAGCCATTTAGAAAAAGATAAAATTAAATCCAATATATCTCACACCGCTACACAAGAATAGCTCCAAATGGATTAGGGATCTAAATGTAAAAAAGGAAACCATAAAATGTCAGAGGAAAACAGGGCTGACTTTCTCTTTAACCCTGGTGTAGGAAATGGCTTTCTAATTATGGCTCAGATACTAGAGGTAATAGATTGATAAATTTGACTACATAAAAATTATAAATTTTTTCAATCATCGTAAGGGAAGTCAAAAGACAAAGGCCCACCTGGGAGAACATATTCACAACATATACCACAAAGGCTTAATATGCCTGATATACGAAGAACTCCTGAAAATTGAGGGGCAAAGGATCAAAATCCCAATAGAAAAATGGGAAGGGGACTTCACTGGTGGCGCAGTGGTTAAGAATCCGCCTGCCGGGCTTCCCTGGTGGCGCAGTGGTTGAGAGTCCGCCTGCCAATGCAGGGGACACAGGTTCGCGCCCCGGTCCGGGAAGATCCCACATGCCGCGGAGTGGCCGGGCCCGTGAGCCATGGCCGCTGAGCCTGCGCATCCGGAGCCTGTGCTCCGC